GGTCTCCTTGTCCGACAGATGAGCGGGAAGCCCTGAATCATTCCCGTCCCACTCCATTCCTAAGTTAGACTCCGAGGCCAGTTTTCTCGAACTGGAGGGCACTTTGGGGAACGCAGGATTGGAAGGTTACTGCCATTCCCAAGGGTGGGTCTCAGCAGGTAGCGTTTCTTGAACACCTACTATGCACAGGGCACTGCCTCAAGTGCAAATCGTGATTCACGCATTTGATGTGCAGCCACCTTCACACAGTCAAAGCTGTTGATTCTACGGCATCTGCTAAACGCCAGACCCTGAGCCACACAGGCCTGTGGGCCTGGGGTGGACCCTGCCGGTGGGCCTGTCCTCACCATCAGCCAGGGAGGGGACGCAGCTGGAGCCCGGACTGCAGATCCCGCCTTTACCACCTCCCACCCTGGACCGCAAAGCCACTCTATGTCTCCGAGCCTCAGTTTCCCCATCTGACATGCCAACAAACCTCTCTGGCCTCTGTAATGTGGGTGACACGTTAGCACCTTCTGCATGCAGCTGGCCAGGTCAGTGAGGTGGCCGGGCAGGGCCAGGGGCGGCCTAGGCCCTGGACACAGTGACCGCTGCTGTAGCTCACCTAGCACAGAGCACTGGCAGCTCGTCCTCTCAGCCTGGGAGCTCTTGTCCAGGTGCCTCCCTGCCCCACCGGTCACCTGGCTTAGCGTGGACCCACGTCCCTCTCACTGTGCGGCCGCAGCTCTGTCCACTCTGGTCCTCACAGCACCCATGGTTCCAGCCGGCTCCAGGGTGCCTGTGCCACCTGTCCCTCACCGCCCCTACCGCCTCGGGGTGCCTCCCCGGCCCCTCATCCTGCCCCTCCGCCCTTCCACAGTGGCTATTTTTGCACGTGGTATCTCCAGTTCTGTCGGTCGTGTAGTGGAAAATTCGCACTACAGAGACTTGGGGAGCAATTTTTTTGGTATTCCTCTAAAACCTTAGCGAAACCTAAGTTAAAATTCATAAATCTTCCGCACGCCCAGTGCATCCTCACGGTCGGTGTGGAATTCCTCAGCTAGCATTTATCTGGACGGTGTCTCGGTTTCTTGCTGGGCAGACATCCCCTGGGGGCAGCGGCTTCGTTCTGAGCCGGAGTTGGTGGTGGCGAAACAAATGGACTGTGGCTGCCCAGTTCCGGAGGTGAGATTACTCTGCTATGACCCGGGCCGTGTTGCCTCCTCCTGCTGCGCCCCTCAGCCCATCACCTGAGTGCTCCCGCCCCAGCTCCTCCTCTCCTTCCTCCTGGAAAGAGGCTGCGATGTCCCCGGCTCCTCCCACCGACCACACTGCCCCAAGTCCCTTCCCTGTCATCAGAATGGGCCGTTTTGTGAAGCCACCTCAGGGGTCTCCTCCACCCCGCTGCCCTGCCTGGCCCCACCCAGGAAGCCGGCCCAGAGCTGCAGCACACAGAGTCTCAAACGCACAGCAGCGGCAGTGGACCTGTGTGTATTTGTGCGTTTGCCCTAACATTCAAAATTCACTAGCTGGGAGTGGTGGCACCTGCCTGCAATCCTAGCACTCGGAGGCCCAGGCAGAGGATCTAATTGAGTTTGAGGCCAGGCTGGGCTACATACAGAGTGAGTTCAAGGCCAGCCTGAATTATAGAGCAAGACTCTGATTCAAAAAAACAAAAACAAAGCAAAAGCAAAACTCACTGGGTTCCACGCCAGGCAACACTCGGGAAGGGAAACTGAGGCAGGAGGATCAGACGTCTGAGCCCAGCCTGGGCAGTTTGGAGATTCAGCCTGACCCTGTCTCAGAATCAAAATCTGAAGAAAAAAAAAAAATAGGCCGGGGATGTGGCTTAGTGCAAAGGCCCTGGGTTCACCCTCCAGTCCCGAAAAGCAGAAGCAGGCTTCGGTGACAACCCAGATTTACAGCCCCTCACGGAAACGTGGTGCTCTGGCCTTCCTCACAGTGACCAGAGAGGGCTGCGGCTGCCCCACGTGCCCGGCCCAGCCCGGACTCCAGAGCCCAAGCCTGCACCGCCGGGGAAGCTCCTCGAAGCTTCGGAAATTCTTCCTAAGCTGCACCTCCGCATGCAGCTGGAGTCGGGGTGCTGCCTACCCCCAGAAGACCCCCGGTGTGGTTTCTAGACATTTCACCTCTTTGCAGCACGGTTTAAAAATCTAAGTGCCCCGAGGCCAGGCTCAGAGCTCTGCCCCAGACACTGAACTGGCACCCAGAACACGCGCCCCACTCACAGACCCAAGCACACCCCGCCCCAGCACACCCCTCATCTCGGTGAACGAAGACAACACTGTGCCCCCATCCACCCAGCGCCCCCCCCAGTCCCACACAGCCCAGTGCTCTCTGCCTCCCCATCTTCCCCGCTGCTGTCCTGTCCCCGTCCTGGAATCCGCACCCCTGGTCACTCCTTGGCAGCCCGAGGGGTCCAAGGAGACCCACAGCTCCTGGGTGGGCTGATGCCCACTTTGGCACTGTCTGCACATAGTCACCACTGGGCAGAAGGGGGACGGGCACTGCTGCCACCCAGAAGGTGGAGGCCGGCACCCCACACTGCAGGGCACGCCCCGCAGCCTCAAGGGACCAGGTCCAGAGTCACCAGTGCCGAGGCTGAGAGCCTGGTTGGATCGCCAGCCCTCATCTCTCCCTGCTCATCTCTCCCCAGCCAAAAGTCCCACCTCCCCCGGGGAAGCCCACATTCCTCTCCTGCCTGCCCCCTCAGGCCAGTGGTGGTGGCCGGGCTGCAGAGACCCAGCTGGCTGGTCTGACCTCATCTGCCCCAGCTGTTTGCTCCCCTGGCTCCCTCAGCCAAATCCCTTTCCCTATCTGTTCCCAATCATGCAGCTTTTCTTTGCCTCAGGGCCTTTGCATCAGCTGCTCCCAGCATTTGGAACAGATTGCCCCAAGCTTCTGCTTGCCCCAGGCTCCTGTCCTTCCTGGACCTCGCGTATTCTGCAGAGCACCCAAGAACCTAGCCCACCGTGGTGTCCCTGTCTCCTCACTGCCTCGGACATTAGAATCAGTGCCATTGAGGCAAGGTGTTCAGCGCTGAGCCGCTGAATCCCAGCACTGGGCGCGTGCAGTGAGCACACAGCTGGGCATTCAGATTTTAGCACCAGGGGTTCAGTCCGCCCAGAGCAGGGATCGCTCCTTCCTTTGGGGGACTTCGAAACAGCCACAGAGCTTCCATCCAGCACAAAGCATCGCCCGAGGGGCCCACACAGGCCCTGATCAGGAGAGAAAAACCAGGAAGGCAAGAGGGCAGGCCAGCTGGGCTGCACCAGGAAGCAGCGGGGCCGAGCCAGGAGGCGCCAGAGGCCACAGCTCTCAGCGGCTGCTGGCCCTGGAGATGCCCCTCTGCCCCCGGAGGCCAGCACCCCACTCACCCATGTCCTCACAGAGGGAGCCCAGTGCCTGAGACCCGAGAGGAGCGGGGAGCCCTCCGGAGGCCTCGGCCTGCAGCTCGGAAAGCACAGGTGAGGCCTCTGGCTCGGGAAGGAGCCGCAAGGTGAGTCAGTCAGTGAGGACCGAGCACAACGCTTGGGAATAGAGTGACCTCAGAGCCCTGCCCAGGACGCCGTTTCACACTGCGAGCGCAAAACGGTGTGAACATAAACGGATTTGCTCTTTGACCTAACACAATGATACACGGTCGCTGTGATGCGGGCTCTTAGAATGGACACAGTGGAGCAAGCGTGGATATTTTTAAATATACTTAAGGGAAATTGCGTGACAGCGCGATGTAAGGCCCTTTACATTGTGTGTGAGCTCCTGGTATAATTACGGAGAGAGTCATTTCTGCAAATGATTCAGTCGGCAGTGTGACCACTGCCAGGCGCTGGTCACTGCCCCCAGACCCGGCTCACTGCAGCCTCAGGAAAAGTAGCCAGGCGTCAGCCCCACCCAGGATGGACTCCCGAGCAATCCCCTCCCCAGCATTTCCAGCTTCTGATTCATAAATCTTGCATGGCGGCCTGCGATTGGTGGGCCTGGTCACATGGCCACACCCAGGCTTCCAGGGGCTCGGCTGGGCTCCTGCTGCCCCCCACCCCAGCCAGCCCTGACCCCTCAAAGGTCACAGGGCTCCTGCAGCCCATTCCAAGACCAGAGAGGACTCAGTCCCGCATTTTTTGGTTTTTAAAAGCATGAAGAGTTATCACGTCCCATTTTAGAAACAAATAACAAGGCAGGCAAACACTTGTTATGACTTTTAACAGGGAAGAGGTTAATTCGCCTGTTGTAAAAGTGATTGCACATAAACAAGAGGAACATTCCACTCAAGACAACACAGAAACGCGGGAGAACCAGGTACGAAAAATACAGGCACCGAAGCCGCTGCCCATCCACGCGGGCCAGAGTCACTGGGGGAATGGCTAAAATGTTGGTCCCTAACACGGTGACCCGGGCAGCCACAGGAGGACAGGAGAAGCCAGTGCCCCGAGGCCGGGCACCACCGAGGCAGAGGAGGACAGACTTCCCCAGGGAGGGAAGGGCCCCGAGTGTGCAGGGTGGGCAAGGCCAGCCCGCCCAGAACCTTCAAAACCAGAGAGGCCGAGGGCCACACAAAGCCGTGGAGCGGGGTTTTGTTTATTTGCTTTTCATCTGATTTCTTGGCCAGCATTTGTGCATCAGGACTCTGCGGACGACCTCAGATGCTGGCTTCTGCTAAGAAGTGGAAGGATCTGGGCCACGAGCTGGCTGAGCAGCGACCGTCCCAGGGCAGGCTGGCTCTCTGCAGCTCACCCGGGTCCCTCAGCCACCTCCTGGCACAGGGGGTCCGAGGTTTTCAGGACTCTGGGGAAAGGGCTGCAGGACGGAGGCGGCAGGAACTCGCCTGGCCTCACCCCAGCAGCCACCCCGCCCCCGGCTCTCCAGGAGCGAGGACGCTGGTCCCCGTCCCCGAGGAGCAGGGGCCTGGTCAGGGAAGGCCCCGTCCTGTTTAGGTTTTGTGGTCTTGTGAGTAACCGGTGGAAAAAAACAAGCTCGAAAAGATAACAATTACAACAAAATTAAATCAAATCAGGCCCGTGACTCATTTATGGAGCCGTAAAAACAGAAAACAAAAACAAGCTGGTTCTGGAGAAGCGGGGCCAGGAGGGGGACAGAGACGTCATGAAGCAGAACAAGAACAGCAGGCGGTGTCGGGGCGGTGGCACGGCGGCGGGGAGGTGGCCAGGAGGGCCTGGAGAGGCCGGGTACCCGGGTCCAGAGGCACACAGCTGGCCGGCCGGGGCTGGGGGCAGCAGGGGCCCGCAGGATGTCGGTCTGGGCCTCCCAAACGTCCCGCAGCTGAGAGCAACCAGCAGACCATTCTACAGAAGAGGAAACTGAGGCCAGGGGGGGTCAGGGACAGGACTCAGCTCAGACAGCCAGCAAGGTAGAGACAGATTCGAACCCAGCTCCAAAGCCTGTGTTAGGGCTCGATTGTGGCACCCCGCAAACAGGTGCCCGAAACCCAGCCCTGTTCCAAAAACAACAAGAAAGCAGAGTCCTGGATTCGGGGTCTGAACTCTGCAGGAGCCCCGACTGCCAGAAGTCAGACATTCTGCCCCCACCAGATCACAGGTCCCCGTCTGTGTGGTAACGGGGTCACATCAGCCAAGGTCTGAGGAAGGGCACGGGAGCCGCGTGAGCTGGGCCAGGGGAGCTGCCAGGTTTTGCTGCCGCTTCCCAGAAGCCTCTGCCCTAGACGGAAGAGGAGCCCGAGGCAGGGCCTGGGGGAGCTGCCCTGCAGGCCGGAGGGAGCGAGGTCATCCTGACCCCAGGCTGAGGCTGTGCAGGCGCTGGGAGCCGGGCCAGAGTGGGCGGCAGAGAAGGCCAGGGCACCGGCTGGTGAGGGTCGGGTGTGAGCCTCGTGCCAGGCTAACGGGCACTAGAAAGCGGCTGCCAACAGCGACACCGGTGCCTGGAGGCCGGGCGAGCCGCTGCCTGCCGCAATCCCAGCACACAGGGAGGCTGAGGCAGGAGGATCACAAGTCCAGCCTGGGCAACCTGGTGACTTAGTGAGACCCTGTCTCAAAATGTGAAAAAAAAAAATTAAAAGGGGCCTGAGGATGTAACTCAGCGGCAGCCCTGCTGCAGTCCCCAGCACCACAGACACACTGGCTGGGTATCAAGTACGTACTAAGTGCAGGACCTGGTACAGGCAATTCTTGTTCATTCACTCACTTATTCACTCACGTCACAGTTCTTTCCGGAGCACCTTCTTGTGCCAACTACACTGTTGCAGGCAAGAGACACAATCATGACAGAGTCAAAACTGGAGCCTCCATCCTGGAAGGATCAGCAGTAAGGAAAATCACGGTGCATCAGGCAGTAGCAAGGACTACAGAGACCAGTGCAGCGAGGAGGGGTGCGGGGGCCAGGGCCTCCCTGGCCATGATGTTGAACAGAGCCCTAGAGGAGGTATGAGAGCAAGCTGGCCTCGGCCAAGTGCTCTGGGCAGAGGACATGGTACGTGCAAAGGCCCTGGGGTGGCAAGCACCTGGGTCATTTTGAGGAAGAGCCAGAGGGCTGGTGTTGCAGGGACACAGCACATTCCCCCAACAGCCAGGAGACCACGGACTATTATTATCTCGTCTTCCCAAAGAGGAAATTGAGGCTCAGCGAGGGGAAGTGACTTGCCCAGAGTCACACAGCCAGGAAACGGCAGCACAGGGAGCAGAATGCAAGTCAGGCTGAGCAGGGGCGTGTCGCCACTGACCAGGGCCCCGTGGTGTGACCAGGCGCATGGTCAAAGGGTGGCTCCTAGAGTGTGTCACCACCCCTGTCAAAGCCGGGGGTGGGTGATTGTGCAACCCAGTGCCCTGCAGGGAGCCAGGCCTGGCCAGAGGCTGCGCTGGGCCCGACCCAACCTGGGCCCACCCCAGGCTCAGCCCTGGCCTGGCTCTGCCTCCAGGCCTAGGGGTCACCAAGTGGACAGACCGGGGACACCCACTCACGCTCAGGTGTGGGTGGTTGCTGGAGCCCTGACCCTCTGGGCCGGGCTGTGGAAGCTCGGTTTCCCCATCTGTCAGGCTCGGGCCCAGCTGGGCTGCAGGCGAAGACGCGTGGTCCAGAGAGAAGCGGGCTTCCTGGGGTCGCACAAGTAGCCAGCCACCAACACGAGGCCACCTGCCTGCTCACGCGTCCTGGGCCCAGCCTGGCCTCCCAGCACCCTTGTCCTCCTGCGCTCACCTCCCACCCTCGCATGCACTGCACACATTCCTGGAAGCCTTTACTTCTGCTGTCCCCTCCATCTGTGAAGGAAAAATAGGTCAGAGGATGGCCAGCAAGGGACAGAGGGAGAGCCTGAGTCAGAGAAGGCTGCAGGGCTGACATGGAGTGTGGACCCGAGGAGGCGAGGAGGAGCCGTGTGATATGTAGTGGCTGAGGCTCCAAGCCAAGGACACAGTGCATGCAAAGGTCCTGTGGTTCGAAGGCCCAGCCTGTGGAGGAGTAACAAGAAGTCCTTGGGACTAGAGAGTGGGAGGAACTTCGGTCATCAGAGCGGTGGAGGTTTTGCTGCGAGGTGGATCCCCAGGGTCTCACAGACCTCATGGGCGGAGGAGGACTTGAACTCCCCCCGAGAGAGATGGGCACCTTGGGTAGGGTCTCAGCAGCAGGGGACAGGACCTGACTTGCGCTCTGAGGGATCCTTCTGTGGAGAACAGGCTCCAGGGTGGCAGAGGGAGGAAGTGGCTGCCACTGTCCGGACAGTGATGCTGCTGGCCAGGACCAGGCTGGGCCGAGGAGGTGGGAGCCGGCCAGTGCCTGGGGCTGGAAGGTACGGCTTGTAGAGCACTCGGGCACGGGGACGAGTGAGGGCCGTCAGGAGGACTCCTGGGCTTGGGGAGACCCAGAGGGGGGGAGGCCAGTTTGGGGGTCAGGAGTCGCTGAGTTGGAGGCTCCGCTGGGTCCCCCACAAGGTATCTGAGAAGCACACTGGGGTTGAGGGAGAGGGGAGCCATCTTCGGAGGAGGACCAGAGGGGCATCTTTGGCCTCCACCTTGAGAGAACCCAGGGCACCCAGGGACCCCGGAGTGAGCCTTCGAGCACGCTGGGCTCCTGGACCTGTCTCTTCCCTCTGCGCCCTGAGGGCTGCGGCCAGCACGGTCCCAGAAGGCCCAGTGCCCAGCAGGGTGGACGACGCTGGGGCAGGCTGACTCAGGGCTCCATCCAGGACCACCTGGGCCCGGCCCCTCCCTGGCCCAAGTCCCCGAGGAGTGACCACTCACCGTCTGCTCGATAGACAAGCATGGACAGAGTGCGGGCCGTACGCCGAGCACCATGCCAGGGACGTAGCCATGCACGGGGAAGACAGCAGCCTCTGCCCGGTGGGGCCGTGCTGGGGAAGAAGATGGTGGACAGAGCCCCGGAACACGCAGGACAGACGAGGGAGGGTGAGCGAGACCGGGGCTCTAAGTGACCTGCCCAGGGCTGCCCAGCCAGAGGGGCAGAGGCAGGACACACAGGTGGGCACCCCCAAGGGCAGCTGATCCCCTGCCACTCCTGGGGACCCCCGCAGGGCTCTGGATGGGGATGTGGGGTGGAGAGCAGGGCCACACAACGGGCTCAGCAGCCAACAGGTTAAGGTCGCCGGGCCTCAGCTAGGGTGACGGCCACACCCAGGCTCAGGGCTGGCCCACGCCGCCTGCTGGGAACACACAGTCCTGGGGCCAGGAGGCTCAAAATAGCAATCGCAGAACCTGGGTCGGAGCCTGGAATGCCGCAAGCAGGCATCAGCCTTGGGGGGGGTGGGTAGCAGACGGGCGCGGGACAGCGCCCTGGGTCTGCTGGTCACGGTATGATCTCGGGCTCCTGCGATTTCCAAGACATCAGGTCCAGCATCTGACTGACTCAGGTTCCCCTCACAGCTTAACCTCAGACCAGATGTGTGGCCTGTCACATCCATGTCCTTATCTGCCATCGACTCATGGAGTTACTCATTCAGTCATTTGACAAACGTTTTTAGAGTACATACTCCATGCCAAGCACTGGGGACACATCAGAGAACCAAACAGACAGAAACCCCTGAGGGTGAATCATAGAATAAGACAAAAAAAAAACCAAACTACTGCACATGCGGTGGTGATGAGTGCCCAGGAGATCAAGCAGGGAAGAAGCTGGGGGTAGGAGTAGGAAATAACTTCAGGAAGGGGTTCAGCAGGGAGAGACACTCATAACACCTGGGGCAAGTGTTCTAGGCAGCGAGAGCAGCCGGTGCAAAGGCCCTGGGGAAGCACACATGTGAGTTGTTGCACGAACAAGAAGACCAAAGTGGCTGGGAGGATGTGTGAGGAGAGACGGAGTCAGAGGGGAGCCCCCTGAGGCAGGGTGGGGCTTGACTGGTTTTTTCTGGAAGCAGTGGGTTCCCTGGGACTGGCAGCCGTGAGTCCCTTTGGCTGTAGGGGAATTCTGCAGCAGGCAGGGGCTTGGGCACCAGCAGGGATGCACCATGGAGGTGGCAGGGGCCTGAGGGGCTCGGAGCCTGGTCTGCTGCTGGGGGTGCAGCCAGGATCCGCAGAGGCAGAAGCAGGAGGGGGCGGGGGCGTGGGCAGAGGCGCCCCCACCTCGGACCTCCAGGAGCCAGGCAGGAAGTGGTGGTCAGGCAGCCCGGCCTGGAAGGCCGACTGGCCCGCGGCCCCACCCAGCCCATGCGGGTCCCTGTGGCCACGGGCAGGGACAGCGCCTGGAATGTCGGCCTCCAGGCCCGGCCGGACGGCACCAGGGCCCCAGCCACTGCCCTGCCCACACGCGGAATCTCCGCGGCCCGTTGAGCAGGATAAGTGGACCCCCCGCCTGCCCGCGCTGACACCTCCTTTGACCACTCACGGCCCAGCCCGAGCAGATCTCCCGGGCCACCGGGCCCTCTCACCTCCAGCCCCACTGCCCAGGCTGGGACCTGCTGGCCTGGCTCTGCTGCAGACTTGGCGACGTGAGCCCAGCCCCCGGTGTCCCCTGACCTGAGTCCCTCATCTGCAAAGGCCCCGGTCACCCCTCATCCATTGCTGCCTCACCCACCAGTGTTTGTAGGGCGCCTGCTCCAGGCGGGGCCCGTGCTGGGGGCTGCATATGCAGCAGTGAACAAAACAGACCAAACCCCCACCTGGCGACAGGAACATTCCACTGGAAGGAGGCAGACAAGAAACAGGGTAAACAAGCGGGGTAGTTTCTCGGGTGAGTGATAAGTTCTAGAAGAAAGCAAAACAGTGTGAGGTAGGAGGAATGGGGGGCAGCTTGCAGGCAAACAAGGAGCACCACCAGGCGAGCCGTGGCAGGACACGTGCAAAGGCCCTGGGGCTCCAGCATAGCTGGTGCATTCTGGCACAGGGGTGAGGTCACTGTGGCTGTAGATGAGAGGGAAAGGGACACACGGTGGCGTCAGAGAGATGCGGGCAGCCTGGGGCGGGATGCAGACCCTGTGGAGCCTCCGAGCCTCGGTGGAAACTTTTATTTCTGCTCTGAGACAGGCAGGAGGCATGGAAGGCTCAGGTCAGGAGGATGCAGGGTTGGACTTAGTGGGGCAGAGGCAGCGAGGCGCCTGAGGAGGACGGAGAACGCTCCAGCCGGGGATGGTGGTGTGGGCCCCGGGCAGCCAGCACCACAGTGAGGGGGGCCTGGGTTGGCTGTGGGGCAGGGAGCTCCCCACACAGGTAAGAGGGGCGCCGGTCCCCGCGCCTGCCTCAGACCCAGAGTCAGTCCAAGGCTCCCTGGGGCCAGGGCTGGCAGCTGAACCTGAGGGACAAGGGGCAGCGAGCCCAGCCTTGCCCCAGAGCTGGGTGGCCCCGGCCCCAGCCCCCCGCCTTGGCCTTGGGCTCAGGGGGACACGGGCGCCCTTGGCCTCCACCCCTCTGCTCCTCTCGGGCCCCGCTGTCCCCTCTTGCTTCCCGGCCCTCTGGGTCACTTGCTTCCCTGCCGTAAAGTCCCTTTTAGGTGGAGGGACTCGGGGTCGGTCCCCAGCAGCTGCGAGGGCTCATCCCCTGAGGCAGGCAGGGCCAGCCGGCGCCCCCAGGGTGACCTCCCCCAGGGGCACCCACAGTCCCGGGCCATCCGAAGAGCCTTCTGTCCCAGAAACAGATGGGGAAACTGAGGCCCCAGTTCACAGCATGCCCTGACCACGCAGCAGAGGACAGGTTTTGGGCACCTCCAGGAAAACTGAGCACCTACCATGTCTGAGCCTCCAGACTCCAAGCAGCCCTTGCGGGGTGGGGAGGCACATGGTGACCTTCGGAGGGACAGAGCTGAACTGCACAGCCTTGGGCAGGTTCGGTTTCCTCCTCAGAAGCCAGGTGCAGCGATGCACACCCTAACACCCTGGAAGCTGAGGCAGGAGGATCTCCAGCTGGAGGCCACCATAGGTGACTTAGTGAGCACTGTGGGTACACAGAGTGGGAGGCACACAATAAATGGTGACTGCTGTCATTACCACTGTCGTCTCCGTGACCGCCTACGCCCCTGCCTGTTCTGCTGGGACCAGAGAATGGCGAGAGGGCCTCTCCAGGGTCCAGGCTCCCCTCTTGCTCGAGGTCGCCTGCACTTTGGGGAAACGGAGGAGAAGGAAGGGGCAGGGGCCAGCCAGGGTGTGAGCGGTAACTGCAGGCAATGACCTGTCCACCCATCCGCCCGCCCATTCCACACGGGGATGCCTCGCCTTGCACAACACAGGAAAGGGGTGGCCTGGACCCCGTGTCCACCCGGCTGTAGACAGGATGGGCAAGGGAGGCCCAGCCAGGCTTCCTGTGTGCTGGGCAAAAGGAGAAGTGGGTCCGAGGTCACAGGGCCAGCCGGCAGCCACCTCCCCTCCCAGCCCAATTCTGCTCCTGCCCCTGCTGGGGGCCCCTGTTCAAAGCCAGCCCCGCACGACACTGGGGAGCACAGCTCAGGCCTCTGCACCTGCCACTGCTGGGGAGCGGGAAAGCCCCCCTAAGCTCCCAGCCCCTCGAGGACATTGTCACAGATAGGAAAACTGAGCACCTACTATGCCTGAGCACCCAGGAGGGGACAGGGCTCAGTCCTACTGTGTGCTGGAGACTCGAAGGGAGCTCTGCACTCTGCCCTCCCCCTGGCCACAGCAGGCATTACTAATCAATGCAGCTCGCTCTGCACTGCATTCAGCCGCGTACTCAGGGCCTCGGTTTAACGAGGCCACTCAGTTTCGTTAAACAAGTGCTTATTGAACACTCCAGGGTGCTGTGTGTGGGGACACAGCAGTGACCAGGGTAAAGCTGATGTTGAGTTGAGGTTGACAAGCCACAAGTCAAAAGGTTGGTCAGCCTTCTGAGCCTGCTGGTTCTGGACTGTGGGCCCAACCAGGCTTGGAAGGAATATATTTTTAAAAGCTTGCACGGCTTTTTTTCTTGTCTTTTTTCCTAAACAACACAGCGTGACAGTGACGTCCCCATGTGTCCCATGGTCTGCCACCTAGAGATGCTTTAGGGCAGTGGTGGCGAACCCATGGCACGCGTGCCGCAGTGGGCTGTTCGTTATCATTGAAAGCTCTAGAAGGTTCGCCACCACTGACTTAGAGTACACAGGAAGGTGACACGGGTCTGTGCAAATTCGGTGACATCTGGGCATCGGCAGATTCTGGTGCCCGAGGCTGGCCTTGGTCCAGCACCCGGGGTCCCCAGGGGTGGCAGTAGAGAGACAGCTCTGGCCCCCAAAGCCCGCCGGAGGGTTGCCAGCACGGCGGGGAGGGGTCTGGGAGGAGGTGGCAGGTGGAGTCACCAAGAGCAAGTGGGGGAAGGCCAGGGAAGGGCCTGGAGGGGGACAGAGCCAGCACCCCGGAGACCGAGTGCCCGAGAGACGGCAGGACTGGCGTAGGACGAGGCGGTGGATGTGAGGGCGTCAGAGCAGGAGGCCGACACTCGGCGTGCAGGGGACAGGGAGGGAGAAGAGTGTGTGCCGAGATGACCGCAGATGTCCAGGCTTGGCCGGGCTGAGGCAGTGACCCAGAGGCGGTGGCCGGCGCTGGCAAGGGGCCAAGGCTCCCCATCCGCTTTCGTTTTTGTTTGACCCCAAACTCCCGGGCCCCGGGTCACCGGACTTTCCCTGCCGCTGCTGGTCCCTCCCCCAGGCAGCCCGTCTCCCGTCCCTCTGCTGCCTGCACCCTGGCTTTGCACTGTGTCCCTGCGCTGGCCCATCCTCCTGCCCTCAGCTGTCACAGGGCCCGAGTGGAGCTGCCTGCTGCAGGACGGGGCTGTCCCCAGGTGTCCTGGCCTTAGACGATCGCTGGAAGGGAGCCCCTGATCACAGAGCAGGGCCCAGCCTCTCTCCTGGGCAGCTTCTCACCTGGCTTGTTGCTGGCTGGACCCTGGAGTGTTCAATAAGCACTTGTTTAACGAAACTGAGAGGAAACGGCTTAAATCACCCAGAAAGCCCTCCTGAGACCTTCACGTCCCACATGCTGTCCGTCCTGCACTGCCTGGCCCTGGGGAGAGCTCTGATTTCAGCGGGAAAGCGGATCGATTGGCGATGTCTGCCCAGCCCGGGCGGGGCAGCAGGGCAGCGTCTTCATCGCTGTCTCTGAGCACCCAGGAACACAGCAAGCGCCTGGTACTTGTCAAACTGTTCATGTGCGAGTTCAAATTACCTATTCCTTTCAGAAGAAAAGCATCTTTCGCTTAACTGTCCAGCCAGTCACAGCTGCTGCTAGCCCTTCTGGGAGGACCTACTATGTGCTAAGCCTGCAAACACTGGGGACAGGCTCTGGTCCTCTACTCAGAAAAGAGGAAGGCGAGTCCTGGTGTGGCTGGTGGGAGTCACCAGCTGGGCCCAGCTGCCCCGAAGTACTCCTGGCGCCCAGCCTCACTGCCCCTGGGGCCAGGGCGCGGCCCCCATGTACCTGCCCTCCCCCCGGCCTGGGCATCCCCGGCCCTCTCCCTGGGTACAGCGGGGAGGACAGGCGGCCTCTGCTTCCCCTTTGGGCCGTGTCACAGGGCTGTGGTTAAACGGAAGCCCATCCCAGGGGTGGGTCCCGGGCTCCACCCTCCCATTCCCAGCCCGGACTCTTCCGAGCTGCCAGGGGCCTTCGGAGTCCCCTTCCTCTTTTCCCAGGGTGGGAGGGAGCTGGGGGGGGCCCTGGGAAGATCTCAGAGACCCCCTTTCCTGTCTCATGCTCGGACTCCACCCCGGCACCTTGAGGGGTTGGTCTGCAGTGGAGGGAGGCTGAGTCAGGGTGTGAAAGGCAGCCAGCACCCAAAAAGCACAACTGTCACATCCATCCAGACAAGCAAGGCGGGCAGAGGCGGCTCCACCCAGCTCCCTCCAACTGCTCCTCAGCGTAGGGACCAGGCAGTCACCCAGCGCCTTCCTCCCTTCCTGATCCTCACGTGCTCCTCTGCTCCGAGCCTCCGGCTCTCCTCCTCAGCCCCATTCCACCCCAGGGCCCTTGCACATGCCAGGCCCTCTCGCTGGAGCATGGGTCCCTCCCTTTCTCATTCCCTGGTCTCTGCTCACCCGTGTTCTCTGCTCCATTCCTTCCAGGAAGCCTGCCAGACCGCCCTGCTCACACCAACCTCCTGCCCCTCTCGATAGGTGCAGACCACCGTGTCTGGTCACAGGCACAAACCCACACTTCCGGGGGAGGTTTGGGTGCCACCTTCGCCCTCGATGGGCTGAGAGCTTCCTGTGGGCCGGGACCACTGTCCCCTCTGCCTGGGGGCCGTCCTGCTTTCATGGTGCTGACTGAACGAATGATGAGCCAGAGTATATGGAGGGACAAGTAAGTCACACCCCAGTCCCCCCAGGGGTGGGGGAGGCCGGGCCCCCCACAGCGGCCTGATCAGGGCCTCGTGCTCTGTCACACCCAGGTTTTGGGAGTCAGGAATCCAGCTCCGCACAGCAGCAGCAGTACAAGTCCAGTCCTGGTGAGGGGAGGGGACCGGGCCTGGTGGCCCCTGCACCTGGGACCCTGCGGAGGGAGGCAGGTTAGATGCAGCCCTGCCTGGGCAGTGTGGCCCCGGGGGCCCTCCTGAGACAGCTGGGTGTGCTCTGCATGGGGCCCCGGTGCGGGCAGAATTTATGGAGCCCCGAGGCTCGGGCAGGAGGTCCACGTCCTTCCTGGGCAGCCTTGCCCAGGTCACCACAGACGAAGGTCACAGCACCCTCACAGACCTGCCATGGGAGGAGCCGGGGATGCGGCCACCAGAGCTCTGCACACCTCCTGTGTGCCCGGCCCTGAGGGGCAGGGAGCCGCCGGCCGCTGGGGGTGCCCTGGAGGCAGCCTGAGCTGGGTCGCTCGGCTGAAGCCTGCACTGGCAGAAGCACAGCCATCCTGCCCTCTGTGCCGGGGTGGGGGGCCGGCTCCAGGCCCTGTAGATACCAACGCTGTGGACGCCAAGTCCCCTCTCCGAACCGCTGCTGTGAGAGCAGAAGACACGGCAGGTGCCCCCCAAAACTCGCTGGATGGCATCTGCCGTCTACCACGGTCAGCTCGGCAGGTGGTTCAGGGACTCTCGGCAGGGAACAGTCGGAACAGGGGCACACTCCTCCAGAACCTGCGCTCGCCGCAGTGGTTTGGACCTGAGGACGCAGAAGCGCTGGGTCCCCAGGCCGTGTCCTCCTCGCCCAGCCGGGGGCCCCGCCAGGGCCGATCTCAGTCCACTCCGCTGCCCAGCTCAAGGCCTGCGCGGCTCCACGTCCCCTGGGGGAGGAGTGAGGCAAGGCCAGAAAGGACAGGCTTCCCTACAGCGAGGAAGCAGGCCAGCGACGGCCGGGGACACTAGAGGAGGACAGAGCCGTGGGACCTAGGGACAGATGGGGTGGAGAGGGCACGGCTCCAGGACCAGAGCCAGGGCCACCGGCTGAGGGGCACGGCTCTCTGAGCCAGGAGGACACTGGCGTCACTGACTCGGGACCCGACAGACATCCTGACGCACATGGGGAGCCCGGAGCACGGCAAGGGACCCCGTGGCTGTGCTCCCTGGACACGAACCCTGGTGAGGTCAGGAGTCAGGCCGCTGGACAGGCCCCGGGGAGAACAGAACAAGCCCAGGCGATGCGTGAGACTCCCACTGGAGGCAGACCCACCATGCCCACCATCTTTGAGCCCACATTTCTCTTCAGAGAGGCTGGGACCCTTCTGGTCCTGAGAATTCTTTTCCAGGAATGTGATTCCATTATCCTACTGGACACCAGCGATATTTGCTAAGAC